CTAGTTTGTTCTGCTGGGTTTTGCTTTGGTGTAGAGCTTTTTTTTTTAACTGGGTTCAATCAGGGAGGTTTCAAAGGAGGGCGGCAATGCTAGGACTCCCTGAGAGGACCCCTGGATGCCCCTGTCTCCTCCCCAGCTCCTAAGCCAGTGCCTGCAGGCCTGGCACCTTCCAGGGCAGGGGCTGGTTTATGCCTTCTCTGGAGCAGGCCCACCTCAGCTTCCCAGACAAAACAAAACAACACAAAAACCCAGTTGGAGGATGTGGATAACACCGGGTCAAGCTCCCCAAACTACCAGGCTGGCGTTCCCAGGCTGTGCAGGGTAACAGGTCCCTGGCACTGACTGCTGGGGGCAGTTTGACTGACTCACAGTCTGGGCTCAGCTTCCAGCATCTCTCTTCAGATCTAGGCGCTGACCACCAGGCTGGACCTCGGTGCCAGGCCTGGTGCAGTTCTCCCCACACAGAACCAGGATTGCCAACCCAGAGCCAACCCCATTCAGGATGTGGGCACCTCCAGGGTCCCACTCTTTCCTCAGCCCCAGTTCTTTGTCTGAAAAGCCTGGGGTGGAGCCCTAAGATTACCTTCCCCGTCCTGGGGAGGGGGAAGAGGGAACCTGGGGAAGGAGTACCTTGGTCTGGGCACCTGCAGAGACTGAGACGAGGCAGCTGGGGCTGGGTGGAGGCGTGGCGTGGCAACAAGCCTGCAGGCACCCACCCTGTGTTATGATTTCAAAAACTATTTCAAAAATCTCGTGAGTTGGGCATTGTTTTTCTGTTTGGTGGGTAAAGGCCAGAGAGCTCTGGGACACGCCCAGGTTGCGCAGCTTGTCAATGAGAAGCCTGCAGACCTAAACCTGCTCTGTCTGCCAAATTGTGGCCATGGGGACTTCCTCTCCACCTCACCCCTATGGCTGGAGGGTCACTGCGAGGCCTAACCAGCCTAGCACAGGTTTGCAGCCAAGGAAGTGTCCTTGGGGGAAGGAAAGGGAAAGGAACAGTGAGGTCTATGGAGCCCTCTGCTCCAGGCAAGCTCTGGTTGGCCCTAATTAGGCTGCACATTTGGCTCTGGGACCTGTTTCTGCATCTCTCTGCAAAAGGGGCCAGGATTAGCATCTGCAGGTCCCAGCAGGAAGTGGGGATGGAGAGAGAATGCATGAATGAATGAATCAATGAATGTGTGGATGGGGAAGTGCTTTGCTAACAGTGGGAAGCCGGATTCAAGAGTTGAGATCAAAGACCCTCCCCCACCTGGCCCCTCCCACATACATCGCATTGCTCTGCCCCACTGCACTCCCGCCATGGGAGGACAGACTTCTGCGTGGTGTTGTTGGCGGTGGGTGGCATTTGAGGGTTCTAGGAGGCTCCTGTATTTCCTCGGGCTTCTCTGCCCAGCAACAGTGACCTCACTTTACCAGCTCCCCAAAGACCACACAGGCATGGCCAGATGTTTGGGACGTCTGTTTATTGACAGGGAAAGACCAAGACCTGCGCCGCACAGGACTCAGCGGTACTTTTCGGTCAACACCACGGCCACACCAGTCAGGAACTTGTCCCACGCCGCCTGCATTTCCACGGTGAACTCGTCCTGCAGGTGGGAGGCCAGCACGACCTGGAAACACTGGATTAGCAGCTGCGGGAGAAGGGGCCAGTGAGACGGGGTCTGCCCCGGCAGGACCCCCAGAGGCCCCCCACCCCCGGCTTCGCTCTGCACCATTGTCCCGGCCCGAGAGGGCTCACCGGAAAGTTGGCTGGGTCCACGCGCAGCACGAGCGCATGTAGGTCCGCCAGCGGGCTCAGCGCGGCGCGCAGGTTGTCCATGTGCTGCACCGCCGCGCCCACGGCTGCCAGCATGCGCTGACCGTGGCTCAGCAGCTGCGCCGCGTCCTGGCAGGCACTCAGGTGTGGGAAGTAGCCCTTGGTGCTGGGGTACACGGTGAAGAGCCTGCAAGAGCAGGTAGGTGACCGGGGAGGACAGCTGCGTGGGGTGTCATGAGCGCCTGCACCGCCCAGAGCCTCAGGGATCCTCACCCGAGAGACCTCGGATGGTCTTGGGGGCCCACGTGCCCAACACCCTCATGTCCACCTTCCTGAGCTCCCGGGGACCCCGCCTCTACCCACCTGAGGAGCAGCTCCGCCCCAAATTGCGCCTCGTGGCCCGCGATCAGGTCCCAGACCTGCGTGATTTGAGCGCGCTCCTGGGCGCTGAGCATGGCGCCGCCTGACTCGCTCTGGGGGCCGCGCCCGCCGCCCTGACGTCCTTATAGGGCCTCCAGGCACTCCGCCCATCCTTATCGGCCGGAGCGCGGCGGGAACGCCGGGACCCTGGGCCCGTGCCGAGGAACGTAGCCAGCCTGGGTTCCCGCCGACGTGGAGGCCTCGACCTCCTGGATCCCAGGGTTTCTGGCACTGACCCACGCTGCTGTGCGTGCGCACCTTTACTGCAGACTTTAGGGGCGTCTGTAATTACTCCCCTCGGGCAAAGTTACTGCTATGCCAGGAGGGCCCCGAGAGAGAACACCGGACAGGAAACCCCCAGTTCTCTTAGAAGTCGGGGAGGGAGGGGCCAGGCTCAGGGACCCCCGCAGCTGCCAGAGTCCCGGGATTAGGGCATCAGGCTTTGTGGAAAAGTTCTCTGAGTTCCCACGCGCTCCCGAGACGCTAAGTGAAGTGCCAATTTTTGGGTGATTTGGGAAGCCGGGAGACGCACAAACGGCGGTCTGACCCAAGAATCCCAGGAGACGCCGTGGGCCGGCCCAGGACTGCGCGGCTCCTCCCGGGCTGCAGCTCCGGTGCTCCGGGGCGAGAACCTCCCCAAAGCACCCCCCCACAGATGACCTCCAGGCCGCGAAGACGGCGGGAACGACCGAGTTCCTGCGAAACACCCGGACCCGTCACTCAGCTTCTCCCCTCCTTCCCTCCAAAACTGAGAACACACAGCCCACATAGGTCCTTCCTCATCCATTTATTAGAGTCAGGGGAGGAACTGTAGGAGGGCGAAGGGCAGGGGAGGGGCCTTAACCGGTCCTGGCGGTCGCGGAGGCGGCGCTCAGCGGTACTTCTCGGTG